ATCTGTGAGTTAGCCGTGCCCTGGCTTAGATCAGCCCAGAGGTTGATTCAGGGTTCGATCTGTGAGTTAGACATGCCCTGACTTAGATGAGCCCAGAGGTTGTCTCAGGGTTCAATCTCGTTAGTTAGACGTGCCCTATTACTATTCAATACCACGTACTCTTTGGATTACTTTCCAGGATTCAGACAAAGGATGGAACCGCTGTTTCTACAGCAAATGGTGATTTCCAAAGTGTAGGGAACCCTACTCCACTGTCTGTCGTATTTGGTCCTGGAGAAAAACACAAAACAGTTTCTGTCAAAATCAATGATGACAAGATTTGTGAAAAAAGAGAGAGATTCACAGTCATTTTGTCAACGAAAGATAACAGCGCCACTGTTAATGATAAATTTGATGTAGCAGTCGTCGATATTCTAGACAACGATGGTAAGAATGGAAACTGTTTCTTCGTTTGCATAAGCGAAAAAAGGGGAAAGGCAAAGAAAGAAAAGAATCCGAAAACAAATGAATGAGTGAGTGTTAAGCCAATGAATGAAGAATGGAAGGGAGGAGTAGAGGGAGGAAGGGAGCAGAAAGAAAGAAAGAAAGAAAAATTTTTGATGACATCTTTTCTTTAATTGTTATACTTTCATTTTCACGGTTTAAAATTTACCTTTTCATCATTACTGTGTTATGAAAATTATTTTTTATTTTAGTTAATGGAGGCTGGGGAAAGTGGTCCCCATGGGGCAAATGCGACAAACCTTGTGGTAAAGGCAGAAAATACAGATCCAGAAAGTGTAACAATCCTGCCCCACAGGGGGGTGGACGTAAATGCCGAGGAAGTCCCAGACAATCAGCATATTGCTATGTCAAGAGATACTGTCCTAGTAAGTAGTTGATATATATTAGATTTGTGAAGGCTTTATGTAATAGGAAATTCACGATGATATCCCCATTATGTTGGTACCTTGTATATAGCTACTGTATTACAAAACAAAAGTTGAAGGTTTTGTTGGATCGGCTGTATACCAAGCCAGGCGGGCGAGGTGAACACTACAAGTAACGTTCACAATGCAACGTTGTGGAATACATACCAAACTTTCTTTGAACGGCTTACGGCATATATTGTTTGCTGTGCTGACATTTTTGAATATAATACGTTTCAATCTTAATTGAGCAAAAAATTATCAAATTCCATACCAATCTAAAATAATACCGTACCAATAATCCCTCTGATCCTTCGTATTTCCAGTAAATGGTGGATACGGTGAATGGTCAAAATGGAGCAGCTGCTCAAGATCTTGTGGTGCAGGATCGCGCACAAGAACACGTGTTTGCAACAAGCCAAAACCTCAGTATGGCGGTAAACCTTGCGATGGAGTGCCAAAACAGACCAGGAAATGCTACTTACGAGCTTGTCCCTATGCAGGTAGGTCTATCTATGCATGGCTATCTTTCAAGATAACTCTGCTAGTTTCAGAATAATAGATAAAGCTTTGCATGCACTGCGTCACCACGACAGGCCATTTCACGGATCCCGTTACTCAACCTCAGCCTCGTCAGCGTGTAATATATTATTCTTTAGAATTTGACTACAGTCCGCAGTAATGAAAGGAATTTACACATCAACAAACAATTGAAACACTTAAAAATTTCACAGGTTGTAGGCAATTTCTAAAGAAWATATTACACGCTGACGAGGCTGAGGTTGAGCCGCGGGATCTGTGAAATGGTCTATTGTGTATGAGTAAGGCACTAAGCATTATCATATCGAGTCTTCGCCCAGAATTCTGAGTGGACGATCAGTACCTATCCCCAGCACCGCTATTGTTACATGACTAAAGCACTGAGCGTGATTATATTAAGCCTCAGCTCTATTCCTGCATTATGATTGCACAATCACACAATACGCGCAATTCTATTTAGCTTTAACTCGTTTAGCTAATTAGTGCAAAGAATGTCCTGAATTCTGCACTGTGACAGTGCTTTGATGTATGATATTTTACACACTGACACATTAATAATAGACATTATCCCTAATGACGTTTCATACCTAAACTACCACAATTAATCCTTTTCAAAACCTCTTTTTCTATTCAAATGTTAAAACGTCTTTGAAAGTACCAGACAATACAAGGATGGAAGAGATAAAGCGTCATCATACTTCATGTTCCGGATGCGAGTGTAACGAGAAAACACACACACACACACACACACACACACTCACTCACACACACACACACACACACACAAACACACACACACACACACACACACACACACAAAACGATTTTTCTCCATGGAGTTTGGAACTTTTTTAATGTTAGTCGCACATCAAAGATCATCTTCATATGGAGACCGCCCATTTCTTGAACTTTTATTTTCACATTTTTGTTAGGTAACACGCCAACACCTCCACCCTACAAACCACCGGAAACGAAGCCTCCTGCGTACCAACCACCTCCTCCCTACAACCCCTACTAAGTCTGAAGACAAAATACAACTGCCCTCGGAATGAAAGGTAAATGTGATTTACTGTAAATTATTTTAGATTTTTGAAACGAAGAAAATTAAAGAAGACTGATATCTACGGAAACCCAATCGAGGGAACGACCTAAGGCCCCGTCCACACGTATCCGGAAGTTTATGTATCCGCAATTTTTTTTTTTTTTTTTTTTTTTTTTTTTTGTTTTTTTGTTTTGTTTTTTTTTTTTTTTTTTGCGGATACGGGTTGCGTCTACACTTGTCCGGAAATTTTTGTATCCGTATCCGGAAATTTTCGAAAACGGTCTCCAGAGTGGAAATTTTCGAATACGCTCCGAATACGGATACGTATGGATGGTCGTATCCGCAAATTTTCGAATACGCTGACATAAACACGATTTTGCGCGGATCAAGAAATTTCCGGATACGTGTGGACAGCGAAAACGATTCGAAAACGATTCGAAAACGCTGCGTGTGGACGCGAACATTTTCGTATCCGCAAAAAAAAAAAAAAAAAATTGCGGATACAAAAATTTGCGGATACATGTGGACGGGGCCTAAGAAACCCTACTCACAAGAGATAGCGAATTTAGTTATCCTGGACCCGGGAAGCTAGAGATGAGAGAAGAGTGCCTTATCGCTATTCTCCCATTCATCCTCAAGAGACAATAATGTATTGTTAAAAACTTCTGCTAGCAAGCCAACAGATCCGTGTGTCAATAATGTCCCATTTTTTTGTTCTTTCAGGACTTTGATGAAGGATATCCAGTTTTAAGACTCAAAAGTTAAAAATTAAAATAGAAGGTTGAAACTGTGAAACAGTGAATACAAAATGATTGTATTAATAATAGTTGATAATAAATTGAAGCAGAATCATAAACTCAATCAGAATTTTTTGGTGTCTTTCTTCTTAGAAATAGAGTCCGAAATGCTTTGTTCTTGTTTCAGTTAATAGTAGAATTTCCAAAGCAAGTGGCTTGAAGGAAGGAAGGAAGGAAGGAAGGAAGG